TTTTACTTCCTCTGGATAAAAATCATATCTGGGCCAGGGATTTAGCTCAGTGATGCCACCACCTGCCTCACAAGGGCAAGGTCCTGAGTTCCATCCCTGATACCCCCCCCCAAAATTATATCAGAACTGTAATCAAAACTCCTCTCCTTCCTTTCACCTTTATTGCCACTTTTTTTTCTTTACTCCTTTGTTTTCTTCTGAAGAGGAGTGAACTCCTGTTAATGAAAATTTTTAAAAAAGAGGCACTTCAACTTTTCTTTATCATTTGAAGTCCTAAGCAAAGAGTTTACAGATGGAATAACCTATGGTGCACTAGATTTTTGGGCCTGTCTGGGCCAGTCCCATATTCCTCATCTACTATAGAATTTGCCAGCCATTAAAGACTATATTTTGGGGCTGGGGATTTAGCTCAGTGGTTTTGCTGCCTGCTGTACAAGTGCAAGAACCCGAGTTCAATCCCCGGTACCAAAAAAAAAGACTATATTTTGTTTCTAGAATTTATATCCTAGTCTTAGTGCCATTCATTTGCTAATTTCCTTTTTCTCCAGGTGCTGGAGTGGCCCTACTGAATGACCATATTTATGTGGTGGGGGGATTTGATGGTATAGCCCACCTTTCTTCTGTTGAAGCATACAACATTCGCACTGATTCCTGGACAACTGTTACTAGTATGACCACTCCACGGTGCTATGTAGGGGCCACAGTGCTTCGGGGGAGACTCTATGCGATTGCAGGGTGAGGAATTGGAAACCAGAGTAACATCATTGTACATCTAGGGCAAGAGTTTCTGTGATCCAATCCCTGTTTGTGGATGGAGGCAGAGTTTGGGGTGGCGGGACAGCGCCAGTGACAATGTTAATGAAGGACATATATGTAAAGGAATAGAAAGCTCATTTCTTTTTCTTTTATTTTTCTCCCCCTCCCCTTCTCAGATATGATGGCAATTCCCTGTTGAGTAGCATTGAATGCTATGACCCTATCATTGACAGCTGGGAAGTGGTGACATCCATGGGAACCCAGCGCTGTGATGCTGGTGTGTGTGTTCTCCGAGAGAAGTGACCATTGTTGGAGCACCATACAGAGCTAGCAACCAGTTCAAGGAACAGTTTGTGGGAGAATCAAGGATCCTTTCCAGAATGTCTTCTTTTTCACTGTGTGCACAGGGTGATTCCGGGGACCAGTGCAGTGATGATTGTACTTATTTGACATACACTCCTTCTTACACTGGCTAAGTCCCTCAGAAGGGTGGGTAACAGATACTTAATGGAAGAGAATGCACATTGAATGGGTGTAAGACTGGATCCTTCTCCATCTGGCCTGGAGAGCACTCTTGTTGTTTCTGACTTCCCACATGCTTGGGAGAATATGTACATGTTGTGCCTCATCTGCAGAGAACTACGTGTGGACAGAGTCCAGCCTGGAAAAGCGGAAGGATACCAGCTTGAGTGAGCTTGGTAAAATCCAAGTATTTTTTCCAGGAACAAGTAACTTTTCTAATGTACAGGTAGCTAGAGGCACCACAGTTTCATTCTGGAGGAAAAAGAGAAGAGAGACCCCCATCATAACTTTGAGTGCCAGGAGGAGAGATCCATGTGATACTCCCTTGGTGGGGGAACAAGTTTGGCACATCAGAACTGAGGTTAGAATAAATGACAGGAGCTGAATTTGATGGAATCTGAATGAACCTGGAACACCACTGAAGCATAACCTGGAAGACTGAGGAGGACATATTATTGGACGGATCTTTTTACTTCCCCAAGGTTTTTCTAAAGTAGTGTCGTATGTCTTGGCACTGAAAACTCTGAGAGAATAACAGTGAACAAATGTTGGGATGAGAGAAGACGGCATAAATGTGAGACTTCAGTATACCTGGGAATTAATTAGAAGTACCTGTGATTTTACAGTTGTCTTACTCCGTGCCAGGACTCATGTAGCCATGGCAGTGTTTGTCTTGAATGGGCGAAAGACTGTCCATCTTGTTGAACAAACACTACCATACCAGTACACTTACTATTTATTTGGGGATGGGGTGGAAGTGGCAGCAGCCTAACAGTTCAGCTACCTGATTACTGCCCCAGTTTTTCAAGGGCACACTTCTGCTAAAGAGTGGTTTTAATGCTGTGTTTGGTGCATCTAGTTTCTTTCCAGTTAGTTCCAGCACCTTTGCCTTTGCATTCTGAGCTTCCCTGTGTCATGGAGTGAAGTTCTTGCTTTGTGGGTACTGCAAGTGTAGGAATGTGATAACTTAAATAAGGATGCGCTTTCCCTTTGCCCTGGAACTCCATTTTCCCCCCTCTTTCTCTGAGTTGTATTAACTGACAGAGGTCATTTCCTTTGTATTTTTTTAAGAAAACATTAAAATTGTCTCAGATGCCTTTAAGAGTTTGTGGCTAAGCAGCTGTTTTCAGCAGACATTTTGGCGGACAGGCAAAAGGATTAGCTATAGTTTGCATCTTCAATCTGGTCACCTGTGTGTTTGTCAAATAGCCCTGCTGTTTTTCCATTAGAAGTCGCTAAGAGGCAGCATTTTACCACCATGGAGATCCTCATCAGTAAAATGTTTACCTGAATTTGCTGTATTCAGTTGCTCTTATCACACTTGGAGTTTACTTGGGACATGATATAAGCAGCCATCCAGAATGCCTGCAGAACTGCAAGAATCTTGATGTTCCCAGAGCAAAAGGGAGGAGAAGCTCCAGGAGAAAGTCACTGTCACTAGAGCAGCCTGCTAGCCTTTCCTTAGCCGGTGGATTGTGCCTGCTACCTGAACCCTGCCCTGTGCACCATGGCTCATCCTGGGGGTTGCAGGAGTGGGAGGGAAGTAGAGGTAGAGTACTGATGGCTCTTAGGCTGTCTCCAGTGCTGACTTGAGTTTGAGACCAAATTCACAAATAGTTCATACACTGACGCCACAACAGAATATTCTACAGAAAAACCAAACATAAAACTCATTGCCCCTTTCTACTCTTCCTCAGTTTTACATGCTTTCAGATACTCTCACAGGGATACAGAGATTGCCCTAACTTGGCAGTTCCTTCTGTTTTTCTGGCTCCTGAAACTGGCAACCAGACACTTACTTGCCTAACTTAGGAAAACTTTCTTGTATCTGTGCATAATCACAATCCAGACATCCAATTAGTTTCTAAGTTTACAGTTTGTCTTTTATGGTACCAAATGTACTAGCATTACTTTCATTCCTTCTGTTACCACATACCTCAATCCTTTATGTTGGATTTAAGGATAATATTCTCCTGACAACCTTACTTACTGGTACCCTTTCCCTCTCAATCTCCAGTCCTTCTATTGTGTCATTAGTTATCTCCTAATGCTCAAATATGATCATTACAGTACTTAACATACAACAGATTATCAGTAAATATTGAAGTTATTTCTGCCCTAAAATTCCATGGATTTCCATTGCCCATGTGAAAAAGTTCAAATTCTTAAGTGTGACCTTTAAATATGGAAACAGTCTACCTTTTTACCTTGCTTACTGTTACTCCTTCCCCTGGGCATAATATGCTTCCGTTATTGGACTGCTAACCATTCCTAAATTTGAGCTCACCCTCGTTCACGTTCCCACTGAAATCTTGCTTTCCTGACAATCCTAGTTACTTCTTTTTTTGTATGTATTTATTTTGTTATGATGATCATGGTACTGGTGATTGAACCCAGTGCCTTCACACTGAGCCACATTCTCCAGCCCTAGTTTTTTTGTTTTGAGACAGGGTCTTACTAAATTGCTAAATTGCTCAGGCTTCTCTCCTGTCTCAGCCTCCCAGAGTGCTGGGATTAAGGGAGCAGGCTTCCACACCAGCCTGATTCATTACCTCTTAATGCCTAGTTAAAATATCATCTAGGAAAAGCCCTTTTTTTTTTTTTTGTACCTGGGATCGAACTTGTGCTTGGGAGGCAGGCAGCGGAACCTCTGTGCTAAATTCCCAGTCCTAGGAAAAGCCCTTTCTGACTGCCCAGAATTACTCCTCAGTCCATGCTTCCATTTACAGTACTTTGTTCTGTGATTGTTTGTGTCACATGCTGTTGGGTTTGAGTCTGTCGTCTTATTTAACTTTTTTTGGTACAGGGGGTCGAACTCAGGACCTTTCGTTTGTGAGGCAGGCGCAGTGCCACTGAGCTAAATCCCCAGCTCTTATTTAGAGCTATAGTCTCATTTACAAAGTGCCTGTCATATCCTTAGGGTGTGGTATAATGTCTGGTGTGTCATTACTCTATAAAGTGTGCAACTAATGAAAAGTGAAAGAGAAAATGTGCAGGGGATATTGAGCGGATTACACATTAATCAGGTGATTTAGTCCCCCCTCATCCTGTTCTCCCTGCCCATTTCAGGAAACCCAGAGCCTGTTACACTAGAAATAAGCTAGAGTTGTAAAAACAAATTAGGTGGAAAGAGGGAATATACTGTAATAAGAGCTGTGGCTTTGGAGTTGCACGTGGATCTAAGAACCTAGGAAGTAACCTCTTTGATCTTTGCTTTTTTCAGTGTGCACTGGGAATAAAAATACAAACCCTATTAGGTAACTGATGATTTAACGGGTTTCCAAAAGCACTAAACGTTCTTGGACAGAATAAATGGTCACGATGATTAGCAATTAAAACTTCCACGCATCTTTTTCCAACCAAAAGGCACACACCGTTCTCTGAATTGCTTCCTACAAAAGCAGCTAATACGACTAAACTTTGCGGCGGGGGTGGGGGGTCCGTCGAGTCCCTCCACGCTATCCCCAGTGATGACCCATCCAATTCAAGAGACAATCGAACGCTCCATAAACTAACGGGTAAGGCCATCCTTACTGTTGTCTAGCTCTTGATGTTAAGGGAAGCCTGGTGACCAGGAGGATATGCAGAGGAAGGACTTGTCACACTGGTCCCAGGAAGTGTCCCTGTCAGCCTGCCGACACCTTGTCCCGGGATTGGACTCTAAAAGCAGGCGCTTGCGTAAGAGCTTCGCGCAGAGAAACAGACGCCTGCGCAGAGAGGCGGAGAGAGTGCGCTTGCGCCCCTCCCCTGTCGAATCGCGCCCGCGCAGTGAAGAGCAAGCGGAAGAGCGAACGAAAGAGCGAGCGAAAGAGCGCAGACTGCGCGCGGAGGGGGCCCGTAGAGGTGGCGGCGATGGAACCAGCAGAGCAGCTGAACGAGTTAGTGTCAGCCGAGGGCCGAAACCGGAAGGCGGTGCTGTGCCAACGTTGTGGCTCTCGCGTGCTGCAGCCAGGGGCCGCTCTCTTCTCCCGCCGACAGGTAAGGAGGCAGGTTAGAGGCTGCTTACACGCGCACTCTTCCAGAGAGGCCGAAGCGAACGGAGCCGTGAGTCCCCACTGCTCGGTTTCCGGAGACCGCGCCCCTGCTCGGGCCGTCCTTAATCCCCGCCCCTCTGGCGCGAGGCCCCTTCCCGGGCTCCCCGGCTGAGACTCCGCCCCTGCGGTGGCTGAGGCGCGGGTGAATCCCCGGGCGGCGGAAGTCTTTTGCCACCCACGTCTTTCTTGCACCTGCGGTGGCCGCGGGACCCCCATCACCCCTGGCCCGTCCGTAGCAGACCTCCCGGAGCCCGGTCTTGCCCGGTCTTCCGAGCGCGCGCCCTGTGCTGTTACCGGGTGCTGCTGCAAAGGGTCCACTCAGCCCTCAGCTTCAGAGCTCTGATCGACCCGCGGGGCCGGCAGGTGCGTCCCCGCCGCCTCTCCGTGCCGCGCTGGGGCGCCCGAGTGCGATTTCACTCCTGTCCACTTCTCCGCCTCATTTCTGCCTGTGGCCTCTGCTTCACAAACGTCTTTGGCGTGCCGGATGCACTGTAACTCCAGGTGCATGCCTTGCCAAGGCACTGAGAACCAGAGTTTCCAGGAGGAATCGTAGTTCCAACTCGATAGATATTTGGGGTCCCGGAAATAAATTTCAAAGGAAGATTAATTTTTGCCTTCAGGTTAGGACTTTTTAAATACCCTTCTTATTCCTATCACTTCGGTAAACTTTATTAAAGCGTAAGCCCTAGGAAAGTGCAAAGTGTAATCTCCTTGCAACCAAGTACACCTTCTTTCACTTAAAATGATTTGTAAAGATGGGCACATCATTTTATTATTTAGTGTGCTTGAACAGTTGGTAAAATATAATTTCTGATATAGGAGCAAGAAGGACTTACTTCTCCAAAAACAGAGCCCTTTTCATAAAAGAAGGGAGGGAAATTACTTCCTTGTTCCATAGGATTGTGATGACTTTCAATCTAGAGAAAGTTGATGCCTCCTCCCTTCCCCTTCTCTTGGTAAGACTTCCAAGGATTGAAAGTAAAGTTGTTTACCAAGTGGCATCATGGAGAAGTGGAAAAAACATGGGTTTTTGGAATTGAAACATACATGCAATTGAATCGTGACCTTTTCATTCTTTAACATTGGAAGAGGTACTTGACTTTCCCAAGTTTCAGGTTGCTCATTCTGAAAACTAAAGATGAATGTCTAGGGCCCGATTTGTGTGAAAGTGTGTAGCATTGTACGTGCTGTGTAGTATATAATGTAGTTCGTGTACACTTTTCCCATGGAAAAGGCATCTGCTTTTATAAACTGGTGAGATTAAAAGGTTCCTTAATGGCATTTATAGTTTATTTTTAAATTCTTACCCTTTGTTTGATATATTTTATAAGAAATTGATGTTGCCAAAGGTGTGAGAGCAAATTGAATTATACATGTCACATATCTTTTCCTATTTTTCAACAGAATAGCTGCTGTTCTAGAAAGAAGTCTAGGAATTGTTTTTTAGGCTTTATTTTTTTCCCTTTTTAAAAAGACAAAAAGGTGTTCTTTTGTCTCCTTTTTTGTTTGTTTGACCTTAGTGTTTCCAGAAATTTCCTGGTTGGTTGGTTGGTTGGTTTTCCCAGTACCAAGGATTGAACTCAGAACCTTCCACTTGCCAGGCAGGTGCAGCACTACTGAGCTACATCCCCCACGTTTGTTTCTGAGGCAAGAGTCTCCTTGTGTAGTTTAGGCTGGCCTTGAACTCGCAGCGATGCTGTTGCCTCAGCCTCCCAAGTGCTGGGATTACAGGCATGCACCACTCCATTCCTGTATCCTGAAAAGCACTGTTGGAAGCATCCTGTTCCCTCCACCTGCTCTGTGCCCTATACTTCAAGGTAGAAAAATTTTAAAAAGTCTTTGCCCTTACCGAGAATAATTTATAATTGGAAGGGAACCTTAACTGAAACCCAGTAAAACTTAATGGTAACTCTTTCATTAAGCTTGAAATGTTGGCAAGAAGCCACCGTGGGGGATTATAGCAGGGCTGTTCCTTATCTCTGCATGTTAATGAGATGCTGCCCCGCATTAAATAACCCTGGAGAAATGTAAGGTGTAAGGAAACCTCGTTAGAGGTGGCCCAGAGCATTCTCTCTCTACCTAGGAAGGCAGCCTAGGACAGTCTCCAAATGGGAAAGATTTGAGAACTAGACTCTGCCAGTCCCACCTTTGAGATGATCTAAAGCTCAGTGGTCATTGTACATAGTTACTTGGTCTAAAGCAGTATGTTTCTCAAATGGGGACCATTTTGTCCCCCAGAGGAAAAAAATATTGAGAGACACAATGAGACATTTTTGGTCTCCTCAAAATTGAGGAGGGGTGCTCCTGGCATCTAGCAGGTAGAAGCCAGGGACACTACTTAGCATCTTACAGTGCCTAGGCCATCCTCCACAGTAAAGAATTCTCCAGCAAAATATCAGTTGTTCAAGGTTGAGAAACTCTGGTCTAAAGACCGCAGAGCAGTCATCCATCATTTCACTTGACCTTATTAAGGTTTTTAAACTGCTTGTTGCTTATTGTGTCCTGTCTACCTCTGTACCTCCTGTACATAAATAAATGACAATTTGGGAAATATTTGGATTTAAATAAGTTAATGAATAAAAGCCATTAGTCCAGGTAAATGATGGATCAGTATACATAAAATGGCTCAACAGGTTTAGTTGTCAGACACCATTACTCCACTGTCTATGCAGAATGTGATTTGTGTGTTTAGCCATAGAATCGGTTTCACGTGTAAAGTATTCCTACTGTTGAACTTGATGTGGGTTGAATAGTCCTTATCCAAATGTTTGGGATCAAAAGTATTTTATGTTTCAGATTTTTTTGGATTTCAGAATATTTACAAATGCATAATGAGATATCTTGAGGATGAGATCCAAGTCTAAGCATGAGGTTCTTTTGTTTCACATGCCCACAGGTGATTTGATGCTGTATTTTTAGTCTGTCCATGTTTTGACTGTGAACCATCACATGAGGTCAGGTGTGGAATTTTCCGCTTGTGGCATCATGTTGGTTTCAAAGTTTCAGGGTATTTCAGATTGAATTTTTGGATTAAGGAACTTGTTACTTCTCATAATCTTATCTAAAGATTTTGGTGGGAGATATTGTAATTAAACCAGGAAGAGAAGAGTGAATAGCAGTGTTCTAACACAATCTTTTTTTTTTTTTTTGGTACCGGAGATTGAACTTGGGCCCTTCCGCTTGCAAGGCAGGTGGCGGAACCACTGAGCTAAATCCCCAGCCCCCGGCCCCCAGCAGTGTTCTATTTCATTGTTGAGGAACTATGGTAGGTTTGAAGAACTGGAAAGTTCCATCTGGCCAGAACATAGAGTACAATAGAAGTGGCAAGCAGTGAGGATGAGGTCGAGCTGAGGTGATTGGAATGGAGGAGGCATGGGAGCCATGGGAATGAGTCCTCTTGGGGCAGAAACCCTTGATTGGGGTAGGATACAGGATCAGAAAGAAGACTGAGCCAGGTGTGGCTCAGAAAGTGACCAGAGTTTCCTCATGTGACTGGGAGACATCAGCAGGTGGCAAAAACAAAGGGAGGGGGAGGAGAAGTTTGGGAGTGAGGAGGACATAGGTTTCTGTTTCCAGAGCCAGAAGACAGACTGTCAGTGGGTGGGCAGCAGCCCTGAGGAGGCTGTGCTGGTGTCCTCTGCATGCAGTAGCCTCATTCTTGCCACAAATTAAAACAGGAAACACCACAGGGTTTGCAGATGTAGGTGAAGGGAGGTGACATTGTAGAAGACAGTCACTTGCTCTTTTATGGGGGGGCAGTGGAATACTGGTTTGTGGGAAGGAAAGTGTAGGACAGTGTTGGGCTAAGAAGATGAGAGCAGAAAACCCAACTGCAGTAATCAGGGCAATTTCTTTTTTTTTTTTTTTGGTACCGGGGATTGAACTTGGGACCTTGTGCTTGCAAAGCAGGCGCCAGAACCACTGAGCTAAATCCCCGGTCCAATCAGGGCAATTTCTTGTAAACTTAATAGATGATGCAGAACTCTGGCTGCTTCTTTCCAGAACAATGAAATCTGTACACAAATGTACATAGCAACTTTATTCATAATAGCCAAATGGGATTCATCCCAGATGTCCTGCAACAGGTGAACAATTAAACATTCATAACATGGAATACTACTCAGCAGTAAAAATGGAACAAACTATTAATACGCAGAGCTTGCACGAATCTTCAGGAAATTATGCTGAGTGAAAAAAAACCAAAAACCCACTTCTAAAAGATTACAAACCTTATTATCTTACTTCTACATAATTTTGAAATGAAAAATTTTAGAAATGGAGAATAGATAAGCATTTGTCAGGGGAGGGGAATGGGGCTGTTGATGGGCATGGTTGTAAAAGGGGAAGGTGAGGGGTCTTTGTCCTGCCGGAATAATTCACACTCTTTACTGATGGGAAACACAGAAACTTCTGTGTGGTAAAATGACATGGAACTAAACACACATGCACAGAAGAGAGCTGGGGAAATCTGAATTAAGATCTGTGGGTTGTATCAGTATTTATGCCCTGGTCGTAATGTTATACTACAGCTTTATACTATGTCGTCTTTGGAGAAAACTGGGTCAGAAGACAGTGCATGGAATTGCTGTATTGTTCTTACAACTACATGTGAAACTGCAATTATCTCAGTAAAACTTTTATTTGAAAAAATCACATTACATTAAGTGAAATAAGCCGTTCACATAGGGGCAAGCACTGCATAATTCCACTTAATATGAAATAGATATATAAAGACAGAAAATAGAATAGTAGTTGGCATTTTCCAGCCCAATAAAGGGGAAATAACAGTTTAATGGGTACAGAATTTCAGTTTGGGAAGATGAAAAAGTTCTAGAGATGATGTTGCCGATGTAGCACGACCGTTTGAATGTACTTAATGCCACTGAACTATACACTTAAAAGTGGTTAAAATGGTAAATGGTATCTTTTACCACACACAAAAAAATCAAGAATCAAAATGGAGGGCCAGAGGTTTAGCTCAGTGGCGCCAGCGCCTGCCTGGCAAGCACAAGGTCCCGAGTTTGATCCCCAGTTACGCAAAAAAAAAAAAAAGAAGGAAAAGAAAGAAACGTGTGTCAGAATCGAAATGGAGCATACACCTCTCGGCTATGTAAAGTACTGTGGTTCTAGCAAACCGTAGCTCTTTACTGGAGTCACCCCTAAATCGAGTGACTGGAAACAGCGGTTTAATTTGCTCGGGAACTAAAGGGTTGACTGGGCCTAGCTAAGCAGTTCTTTCATGTGCTGCTGGCTGTCAGGAGGCTCATCTCAAAAGCTGCTTTCCTTGTATAGCTCCCTGTGGGCTGGGAAGATTTGAGAACCTGGCCGCTGAAACAGGCTTTGGGGGGCATCTGTGTCTCCGCACAGCACCCTCAGAGTAGCCAGACCTCCTAACCCTGGCTGATGCCCCTGGAGCAAGTGCCCTAAGAGAAACTGCAAAAGTCTCATGCCCGCTTCTAGCCTGGCTTGTCTCTTCTGCATCCTGGTTATGGAGGCATACATCGTGCCCTGCCCACGCTCAAGGGAGGGGAATGGACTCCACCTGGTGTAAGGATTGTCAGAGAGACTATGAAGGTGTTTTAAAACCACCACATCCACCCAGAAGTACTCTGTGTTGTACAAGTTTTTATTCTTATCTATATTGTATTATGCTTACCAAGTTTCCTATAAGAATGTATTTTTACAACGAGAAAGGAAATATTTTATTTTTAAAAGGATACTGTGACCAGGCATGGTGGTGCACACCTGTAATCTCAGCACTTGGGAGGCTGAGGCAGGAGCATTGCCATGAGTTCGAGGCCAGCCTGCACTACAAAGTGAGACCCTTTCTCAAAAAACCAAAAAAATAGGCCTGGGGATTTATCTCACTGGTTCCACCGCCTACCTTTCGAGTGCAAGGTCCTGAGTTCAATCCCCAGTACCAAAAAAATAAAAATAAAAGGCTACTGTGAACAGTTAGATCAAGTGAATCCCATCACCTTGTGTTTCACTTCTGAAGAGGCTGTCCAGGATTAGGGGCACTAACTAGCTGTGGTTCTTCGAGCAAAAAGAACCTAGCCAGGGATCTCACTGGTAATTGCAGTCCCCAACTGAGTCAGCTGCCTCAAGTTAGGTAATTTTTTTAAATTTCCACCCCTGTAGTCTATCTGGAAAGCCTTATTCTTTTCCAAATGTCACATCCCATCAACTGGCCCTAGCAATTGTCTTGGCATTGGCACGAATACGTTGAGGTCCAAGCACAGATCAGATGCACTTACATAGGTACAGACCTGTGGGTCAGACTTCCAGGGCCCAAATACAAAGGGGCATGCTGAGGAATAGAGGCACTGGGGCCCAAGGGGGTCCCGTGAGTGGCAGTTAAGGATAGCAGGGTTACAGGGGCACTTTGGGCAGTAATTAGGAACAGGAAGGGGCTGGTGCCCCTGGTTGGGTACTTCCTGAAAGCTAGTGCTTAAGTACTCTTTGGCCTTCTCTTCATTGTGTTGGACACACTGAATTCTTGGTTAGGTTTTTTAAGTAGTTACCAAAGGTCTACTCTGCTTCTGTTAAGATGTAACTTCAACACCTAAAATATAGTGAACGAGCCAGAAATAATTTTGAGGAAAATTGAGGCCCACAGGAAGTTACAGACATGGCTGAAATCCAGGTCTCCTGAATTTTGATTCCCAGATCTTAGTCTCTGCCTGTTTTCATTTTTAGGGAAAACAGAGGGTCAGGGATGCATTTAACCATCAGGTGAAGCAAACAGGGTGACTGGAATGCCAGTGTAGCAGGAATGAGGACGACCATATTTTTTGAGGTTCTCAGGTCGCACAGCAACAGATACTGTAGCTATTTTAATAAGCTATCTGCTCAGCGGATGGGGAGTAGGAATGTTCTAGGTCAGGGCTCCTCGGGGCTCCTTCACACTGGGGATCCCCGTTGCTAGTGTAGCCCAGGGTCCTAATGGCTGACTCTAGTGCATTCCTGCACAGTAGCCGCCCCTGCAGAGTGCCTCACTGCAGCGTGAGGAGAGGCTTACCTCCCCCTTGCTTAAGCGTTTACCTCTTGGAGACTAATGTCAGTCTCATTTTTTTTAATTTTAATTATTTGCTTTTTATTCTGATTGCAAGTGCCAGACTATTTCTTTATTTGGAGCTACATTAGAGTGTATTGTGGGACAGGAAATAAGTAATATCACAGCAGCCAGGAGCAAGGGGATACCAAGCTATGCTTGTGTTGTATCTTTTTTTTTTTTTGGTACCGGGGATAGAACTTGGACTTGGGACCTTGTGCTTGTGAGGCATGCAGCGGCACCGCTGAGCTAAATCTCTGGCCCTGCTTGTATTGTATCTTGTTGGCATCTTGGGCAGCTGACAATGTGTACTACCACATGGAGGAAGTTAAAGGAGTCCTGTGTGTGTGTGTACAGTCAAGACTTTCTTCTAATGATTGGGAGGTCATATAGATTGGAGGTTGCAAGATCCTGGGGATAATATTCCAAGTTCTACAGCTAAATACAACAGAATAGCTCAAAGCCAGATATCCAATATTCATTCTTTTCACAAGTATTTAAATTCCTGCTCTGTAACATTTACTGTCCTGTGCACTGGAGATACGGTAATGAACAAGAAAGGTAAGCTGCCTGGTTTCCAGGTGCTGTTGTTCTAACAGAAGGAGATACGTGATAAGAAAATTTCAGAAAATAAGTTAAAAAAGTAGAGAAAAGGGAACTTCTAGGAGTGATGAATGTCTTAATTACTGTATCTTCGTTATGGTAGTGGTTTCACTCATGGGTACAAGTGCCAAATGTATCAAACTGTTTAAGTATGTATGGTTTATGGTTTATGTTATCAGTTTGGGGAGTTTTTTAATGCAAGGGCTGGAGATGTAACTCAGTGGTAAAGCACTTGCCGAACATGCACAAAGCTCTGGGTTCCATCCCTAGCACCACAAAAAAATTTTAAATAATAAAAATTTTAAAATACTGTGGGCAGTATTGTTACGACAGAGACTACTTCCTGAGAACATGACGTTTGAGCTGAATACCAAGAAGGTGCTGGCTTTGCCAAGATCTGAGAGCTGAGCAGACTTATGCTGGTCGAGGAAGCCAGAAGGCCATTGTGGCCGAAGCACAGGGCCCAGGGAGAGACCAGGACTGTGTTGGGGTTCGTAGGCCATGGTCAGTGCAGCGGGGAAGCCGCCGGCTGGAGCCCCTCTGCCATGTCTCTCAGCACTCGGACGGGCGCCAGAAGAGCCACGGTGTGCTCGTCTGTCTGTAGCCAATGAGATGCCCCCACCTCTCCAGGTCCAGAAAGCTGCTCAGGAGTGTGAGAGTAAAGTGATAGGATGGGGTGATGCTGTGCCAGCTGAGCTTGTGTGTCCCTCGTTCTTTTCCACTGCAGCTTTTCCTTCCATCCATGAGGAAGAAGCCAGCCTTGGCCGATGGCAGCAGTCCTGACGGCGATCTCCTCCAGGACCACTGGCTGGTTAACGACATGTTCACCTTTGAGAATGTGGGCTTCACAAAGGACGTGGGCAACATCAAGTTTCTGGTCTGCGCAGACTGTGAGATTGGACCCATTGGCTGGCATTGCCTAGATGACAGAAACAGTTTCTATGTGGCCTTGGAACGGGTTTCTCATGAGTAACTGAGGAGAAGGGAACCAGCTCCACCCCGCAGTCTTAAAGAATTGGCAACAAACTTGGTGTAACTACTGAGCTGCTGTCTTCTCTGTTCTGCATAATACAAATGTTGAGCACCAATGTTTGCCCTTGAACGCATAGAGGGAACCCTGCTTCCTTCCGGCCTCTGCACATGCCTCCTGCTCAGTCCACTTTGCATCACAACATGTCCTGTCTTCCCGCTGCCCCAGCCTTGGGACACTGTAGACCTCCACAGACCTATTCTCATCACTGGCCTTCTGCCTAGGCTCTATTCTACCCGGTGCTCCCTTTTTTCTGCTCTAAAAGAGCACTGTTCAACTTTTTAGCCACAGTGACACATGACAAAAGAGTCTCGTGCTGATAGTTGAAACTTCCCCCTTTTCACTTTCGTTCAAGAAAACATACAAGTATCAGAAAGTGACTTTGTTGTATGACTAGTTATCTACAGGAATTTGCTCTTTGTAAAAGTAAGACATTTATAAACTTGAGCATTTAAATTGATAATTGGAAGACACTGCTTTGGATACGTCTGTAATAAATACCATGGTTGAGAGCCTTAGATCTGGGATCAGATGGACAATTTTATTGTGAAGATGGATATGGCCCTTCTTCCTTTCAAATCTTGACATGTTTTGTCTATTAACTCCTTCACTGCTGCAGCCTATACCTGAGCACCAGATTGTCAATCCCAATCCAAACTCAGCCCCAGCTGTTACAGGGGCTTACTTGGAGTCAGAGTGGAGAGGGTAATAGGATATGTGAAGGATGGGCCTTTGCGAAATTACACCTGAATTTCTAGGTATAATTCATTTGGACAAGTTGCTTTCTTCCTTTGTTCTTAGGGAAGACTTCTTTAATGGATAGTATCATTGAACATACTAAGCATGGTCCTCAGATTTCTGGTTCAGTTGGACTCTATACCATCCCAGAATACAATTTTTTTTCCTCCTGAAATGCCTCTGTTTCTGCTGCTATAGGGTTGCTCTGACTTTTTGATATTAGCAAACTTATTTAAGTCCTCAGCATGATTTGCAATCATTCTGTCATTTCTATCCTGAAGTTACTGTGTAGAAGGAATCTGTATAACCAGGTTTCAGCTGTCCTCCCTCATCTGTAGTTCTGGGGGCCTAAAACTGAAATAGGACCAAGTAGAAGCCTTCCAAGTCCCTTCCTTTGCAACTTTTCTGGTTGCTTCTTCCTTCATTCCAGAATTTATGGGGGGCTCCCCCCACTAACATGCAGGCCTTGGGCAGTTTTGCAGCCAACCTACTTGCCCAGAAAGCTGCCTTCCTTCCCTAGTCAGAGCCTGAATGAACTCCAGCAGAAAGGGAGAGAACTGTGTTTTCTGGACAAATGGTAAAAATCTGCATTATTGTGGTGTTTGTAGAAAAACAACTGAAACTTACCCACAGGGTCAGAAAGAACAGGCCAACTAGATGCTTCTGGGGCATATGGACCCTGACATCACAAGCCAAAATCTAAGCTAAGAATTTTCTTAAATTAAGTTTTAACTTTTCACAGAAATAGTATATGTTTATAGTAGGTACATTAAAAATGGGTGTAAAAGGGCCAAGGATTTAGCTCAGTGGTGCCGCCGCCTGCCTTGCAAGCACAAGGTCCCGAGTTCGATCCCCGGTACCAAAAAAAAAAAAAAAAAAATGGGTGTAAAATTATTGTTTAGCCAGCTTGGACTACGAAGTGAGTTGAAGGCCAGCCTGCATTACTAGCAAGACCTTGCCTCAGGCAGGCGCGGCACTGCTGAGCTACATCCCTGTCCCCAACCTCACCTCAAAAACAACAACAAAATTTTTTAAATTAGTGTTTAACTCACACTTCAGCTGTCCCAAAATTGCTAATGGCAATGTCATACATAACCTTCTTGATGTTTTTCTATTATATATATCTAAACGTACAGTTTTTAAAATAGATATAAGATCATACATTACTGTTTTATAACTTGTTTTTTTAAAGAAAATAGGGTGAACACCTTCCAGTGTCAGTAGCTGTCCACCCACATATACCATCATTATTAGTATCACATTGCATCGGGTACTGTAATTTACTGAAATAACCCACTAGCAGGTTGTCCCCAGGTTCTCATACACAGGGACGGAATGTGCCGCCTTGTGTGTAAATGTGCACCCACACCCTCTTTCCTCGGCCTGCGTGATGAGCAGTGGCATTGCGGGTGGCTGTGGTCAAGGCTTTGCTGTGTTGACCCCTCACAAACAGCTGCGCTAGCTCATCTCTGCTGGCACTATGACAGAACGCTCACGTCTCCAAGTCCTCAGAACACTAGCTATTTATGATCATGAAAATGTATTTTGCTTCTTTAATTAAAAAATAGTATCTCACTGGGGATTTAGCTCAGTGGTTCCAGCGCCTGCCTTGCAAGTGCAAGGACCCGAGTTCTATCCCTGGTACCAAAACCAAAACAAAACAAACAAAAGAATAGTATCTCATTGTTTTATTTGCATTTATTTTATTTCTAATGAAATTTTTATCTACTTATTGGTCATTTATGTTTGCTTTTTTGAGAATTGCCAAACATTGCTGTCCCAGTAACCAAAATACTGTGTTATTATTCTGCCTTTTTTTTTTTTTTTGGTACCAGGGATCGAACTCGGGAACTTGCGCTTGCAAGGCAGGTGCTGGAACCACTGAGCTAAATCCCTGGTCCCCCTATTCTGCCTTTTCAGAAATAAACGCATTTAAACAGTGGAAATTAGAGTCCTTAATATCCTTCGGAAGAGTATATAAATTGGAAAAGCAGAGGTAAGCTGAAATCTGAACCTTAGAGTTTAGCTTGAAGTCCGTCAACTAACTGACTAATGACTTAGTGTCTGCTGTAAAAGGAGAATGTCATCTCTTCATTCCTATCACACACAGTTTGCAGTAAATACTCCTGAATTGCTGTCTGCCGTAGTTAGAGGCAACTCATGCTTGCTGCCAGGAGTAGACAGATTGGCAGTTCCAGGCTGAGGTAGCTTAGTGGTCGAGCTCCTGGTTAGCATGCACAAGGCTGGGTTCAATGCCCAGTGCTAAAAACGAAACACACAAAGTCCATCGTACCAGCCAGGCATGGTGGTGCATACCTATAATCCCAGCATTTAGGAAGCTGAGGCAGGAGGATCACCACGAGTTAGAGGCCAGTCTGGTCTACACAGTGAGTTCAACCGCAGTCAGAACTACTGACCCTGTCGACAAAAAACCCACAAAAAACAAAACTAAAAAAACCACTGTTCCTGTTGGGAAGAGCAGTTGATTTTACCAAGGCCCAATTGTTTGTACAAAATTAACTTTTTTTTTGGTGCCAGGGATTGAACTCGGCACCTTGGGCTTGCTTGCGAGGCAAGTGGCAGAACCACTGGGCTAAAACCCCGGCCCCAAAATTAACTTTTTAAAAAATAGAATCCAAGGGCTGGGAATTTAGCTCAGCAGTGCCACGCCTGCCTGGCAAGCTCAAGGCCCTAAGTTAGATTCCCAGTACTGAGAACAAAACAAAACAAAATACAGAATGCGGAGGCTGAAGCAGGAGGATTGCTCCAAGTTCAAGGCCAACCTGAACTGCATAGCAAGACCCTGTTTTGTAGGGAACAGGGAAAGGGGACGTTACTAGAACCTCTGCAGTGAGTCCTAGTCTCCTTCGAGCCACAGCAGCACAAGGAGAATTGATTTATTATACAGGAAAGGTAGACGAAATAAGACTGAGAAGAAGCTGAGCTTTGGGCCGGATCACTGCTGCTCTGGACAGCAAAGACAAAAGCTTATTGCACCTTTGTTCAGTACATGGGGAGAAACAAATGTAACAAATGACCCAGACAGAGAGTTCAGTACATCGGAGAGTAACAAATGTAAAAGGTGACTCAGAGCAGTGACAGCAACTGAGGCAAAAATCCTAGATCAACGAGGAACTATGCAGATGAAGATTTTGTTTCCCCCAGGATGTCTTCAGCTGGTGTAATCTGGTCCTGGAGCATCACAGCATCACCGGACCATTGAGGTCTCAGCTGTGACTGGAGGTCAAAATGGAGTTTTATTTCTACATGCCTCAGCTGCCCTGTAGGGAGGAGAACTAGGCCTAATCATAATTTAATTGTGAAATGCTTTTCCCCCAAAATCATGTAGAATAGCTCCCGACACAGTTTGAAAAAGAGAAATCCAAGATGAAGAGTGGTGTACTGACATTTTGCATATTGTTACCATGACATGTTTGAGGCTACTCAAGTAACTTTAATGTGACTGCTAAGGAGGACTACTGCTCCTGGTGATGATAGACAGGTAATGTGGACTGGCCCTCCTAGTGAAGGGCCTAGACAAGGCTGGAAACATTAAAATCTGCTCACCAGGGGTGGTGGTGTACACCTGTAATCCCAGCACTTGGGAGGCTGAGGCAGGAGGATCACCAAGAGTTCCAGGCCAGCCTAAACTGTATAGTGAGATCCAGTCTCAAAAAAAAAATTCTGCTTGACTCTTCCAGAGATGATGTCTAGAGACAGAATGGTCCAGCATTTGACACCATCGTAGGCTTTTCTACAGTTCTGTCACTAACAAAAGTAGGCTGTCCCAAACCCCTGCTGATAGACGTTTATGCAGAGAAGGGTGGGAAAGTGCCACAGTCCCCCTGTGATGTGTGCCCAGGCTTAGAGTGTGAGACCTACAGTTCTTATGAGATTGTCTAAGAGGAAGAAACACATCAGCAAGGCCTAGGTTCCACCCGAATTGAATGTGTCTGTGACAAGCTCAAATGTCTACTTCTCCAAGAGCAGGAAATTGTAAAGGCTGATGGCACCAACATGAGATCCAAAAGAAAAAGGCTGGGCATGGTGCTTCGAGCCTGTAACCCCCGCATTCAGGACGCTGAGGCAAGAGAGTCACTGGGAGTTTGAGGTCACCCTGAACAACACAGCAGCACCGTGTCTCAAACAAACAAAAATTATTATTATTATTTTTTTTTTTGGTACCAGGGATTGAACTCGGGACCTTGCGCTTGCAAGGCAGGTGGCAGAACCACTGAGCTAAATCCCTGGCCCTGCAAAATTATTTTTATTGTCTTTTTTTTTGGTACCTGGATCGAACTCGGGTCCTTGCCGCTTGCGCAGCAGGTGACGAAACCACTAAGCTAAATCCCCAGCCCTAAAAAAATTATTTTTAATGAAGCTCTTTTGAATAATTTTTTTTTTTTGGTACCAGGGATCAAACTCAGGTCCTTGCGCTTGCAAGGCAGATGACAGAACCACTGAGCTAAATCTCCGGCCCTTGAATAACTTTTCAAAAGGCAAAAAGATCTATTGAAGACATTAGAGCCAACATGATTTTGAAGAGTTATGGCACTGGATTCCTGAGGCTTGGCGTTATGGCCCAGTGTGATGGGATGCTGTTCTCCAGAGCACATTTGCAGTCTTGGAGGCTGTTCAGAGGCTAATCAGTGAAGGAGGTGGGTGCAGGGATTGAACCCAGGGCCTCACACATGCTGAGCAATCTGTGCCACTGAGCAACAACACCAGCACCAAGATCAGAAGTAGGAGACAGGGTCTGTCATGCAAGACCTGATGAGGTCCCTCACTTGGGTGGAAGCCAACCATTCTTAGCACCCAGGAAAAAGGTGAATGAAGAGCAGGAAAGGGAATGGCTGTCCCCGGGATACCAGTTCAGCCTCCAGTCATCTCAGCCTTGCTGTTAGATTAAGGCAATGCCAGAGTGATAGTTTTCCCAAACTCTTGGCATAAGCAAATGGAAAATACCATCATCCTAAACTTCAGTTTATTTCCACAAATTTTGCTAATGCAATATCCGGAATACAAGCAATGTAACCAGGCATAGGGGATAAGATAGAACTAGCAAACTACAGACAATGCAAACAGACCCATAGAGGATACTGCAGAGATACTGCAGCTGTTGAAAATAGACCTTAACACATGCTTACTGTGTTCAAGGGGATATACAATTTTGGGAATTTCAGCAGACACTTGGACATCTGAAAAATGAAAAGTGTATTCCAGAACTTTAAAAAAATTCCATAACCCCTACAGTCCCAGCTACCTGGGAGGCCACGGCAGGAAGATCACTTACATCCAGGAGTTCAAGGCCATCCTGGACAACATACCAAGACCCTACTTTCAAAAAAATAAAAATATAAAATTTTTACAAATCCAGTAACCAAAATTAATTCAGTGGAAACTTTTAACAACAGATTGGACACAGCTGAAGAAAAATCTACAAAGTTAGGAGCTGGTATCATTATCATTACAGATACCAGTACTATAACACAAAACCTTATATACAGTGATGGCAAACCTGTGGCATATGTGCTACAGGTGGGCTCTTATCATTGAAAATGCTAAAAGGTTTGTAATCACTGTAAACGTACACTGTTATTGAGGGAAACTAGGAAATTCTTGGGGCCAGAAAACTGTAGCCCCCAGATCTCATCCAGTGCCTGACTTCTTAAGCCTCAGAGGCCTTTGAGCTAAGAATGGTTTAGTGCCAAGGCCTCCTGCACACCAGGCAAGTGCCCTACTACCCAGGTACATCCCCAACCCCAATTCTGACACTTTTAACTAGTTGTAGAAGTACATACATAATGCTCTCAGTTTTGCCTCTCAGTCCAGAAAGCATAAAATACCAAGTCCTTTCCTAAAATAGTTTGTTGGACGTGGAGGTAGCTCAGTGGCACCACACCTGCCTGGCAAGCACAAGGTCCTGAGTTCGATCCCCAGTACCCCATAAAAAGAAATGTGAAGTTAAATGACAGAAGAGCCCACCAAATTCACTTGAAATTCATTGAAATGTAGAAAGCATTTTTCTGTGAATAGAAACAATATTATACATAATAATGGACTGCAACCTGTGACACACCTATATGTATACCAGAGCAGTACTGTGCAGGTGTGTGGGACAAGTCCTTTGCTGCGATTAGAACAGGGTCACTCCAGAGCCCTAACCGGGTGACTCCAGGCAGCCTATTTCAGATTGGGGCCCAGGGTGAACGGTGACCACAGAAGAAGAGTGAGCAGCTCCCATGGGGTTACACATTATTTGCCTCCCCTTTGCCCTGCCCTGAAAAGATACAAAGGATATGAAACAGGGATTGTGTAGAAACGGGGGTCCCATGTTAAGTAGGCGTTGCCCCAGTCACATGGAAAGTAAATGGCAAGCTAATGTTACCAGTCAAGCCAGGGTCCTTTCCTCAATTTGAGATAGAAATCACAAAGATGCAAATGTCCACCATCCACATGAGGCTTTATTGGGCTTCTGCTGGAGCATGAGACAAGACACAACAGAGCTTCTGGTCTGGCCAGCTCCTCCAGGAAATGAAGAGGAAAGCTTACATAGTCTGGGATACTCACCATCCCACCCAGGAGTGGTCAGAGATGGGCATTCTGTGCTGCAAGCTTTGAAGGAAGCAGAGGGTAAATTAGGGCTTCCTAGGATGCATAGCCTGCAAAAATCTGCTTCTCAAAGACAGAAATATCAGGCCTTTCCCATTCTTCTCACTAAGACAGTAGGAAAAGAAACTGAGCTTATGTGGGCACCAGTTTAGGCAACTATGCTAAGGAGTAGTAAGTAATCCAGATACTGCCTGTCCAGCCTCGGCAGTGGCTCTGTGTCTCACTCCTTACCTGGGCTCCTCGCTACTCCGTGAGCAGCACGGTATTGTCCCACAGAGCCTCTCATCGTCTTCAGCGCCTCCCTTCCCAGACCGAGTGTGGGTGTCATTTTGAT